TAATATGCCCAACAGATTGAGGCACGTATTGAAACAAAGAGGCTATGCGACAAAATATTAAAAAATGTGTTTATATAAATAAATTAGGGTTATATAATGTTATTTATGCCAAGTGTCCGAATATTTTTGTGACGTGAAAATAGGGTATCATTTTGTTTATAATTTGTTATAATAACTCCATATAAATTTATTAAATAAAACTGTAGTATCGCAGAATTTCCACCTCGTGTCTATGTATGACTTGTCTATGTATAACGCTTGGTCCCTTCCCCGAAAATAGTGGATAATAAACAGCGGTCTTGGGTTTGGCTCGAGCGTTCAGGGTGTTATCTGGAGTGCGTGCGAAAGGATGAGTGACCGTGCGCAAGGATCGTATGAATGGGGTATCTATGAAAGTATCGATTGCAAGTGAAGAGTAGCTAGAAATGCTTCTGAGTGTTTAGGCTACGTGACCCACTGAGGGCACGGCTGTGAAAAGTGCGTGAGAAAAGCGTGATTGAAACAAAGAGCATAAGTATGAAAGAGGATAGAGCGTATGGTTAAAATAAGGGTACAAGGGCGTGAAGTCTTGAGAACAGTTCTGTAGAGAGAGAGAGAGAGAGAGTTATTAAAAAGCAAGGAGTAGCGAACGGCGATATTAGGTCCGACTTGGGCGTTTGACGCGGAAAGAACAAATGATAGCAGCAAATACTTTTGTCGGAATGTCTGTAGAATGATTGAGAGAGAAAGTGTTTGTATAGAATACATAGATCTGGCTTTAAATAGGTATGCAAGGGCGCGAGGCAGGCAGATGGGGTGTAATGGAAAATAGAGTGTGTGTAGTCTAGACGTTGAGTGTATAATTGAGAGGAACCTGGTGTATTATGTCAATTAAATAAACTTGTTTTGTTATTAAAGAGAGTTGTTCTTTATTAAACACGCAGATTTGGGGTCTGCATAGGGTTAATATAGAAAATCCCACAATAATTATATTTTCAGTAAGCATATAATCATCATAGACGATTATATGTTTAAAAATTGCGTTTAGATACATTTGGTTATAGAATATCTTAACCTTTTGCACTCGAGAGGCGCCCTTCAGTCGCCATTTGATAAAATTCCGAAGCTCGATATTAATTAATATATCAAATTAAAAATAATGTAACAATGCGCAAGGTATCGAAGTCAAATAATTCTGCGTGTTAATTATTATACAATTTTTTATTTACTACTCCAAGAATATCATCAGCCTTACAGTAGAAAATTTTTCAACTCGTATCTTTCTTTAGCGAAAAAATCATCCAGCACAAGGGGTTAATAATTAATGATGTTGAGAAAATAATTTGAGTAAAATATACGAATAATTTTATAACGATAAGAAAAAGAAAGAAATCGTAATAAATTGTTTTTCCGTAATTATAAATCCCAATTTCTATATTGTTTGAGGTTAGGTTTTCGAATAACTAAGTACACCGCAACTTATTAAGTAAAAACATTTATTAAAAGAAAAGAAAGCGAAAAGTAACTTAAATAAACAGAAAGAACAAACAAAAAACAATTCTTTGGCCTTTTTATATCACACACTTCCAGCTCCAGTACCAGGCATACACGAGCACGTGGCTATCCCATTCTCATACACTCCTCACTCACTCCCCCTCCACACGCACACCAACACACCGAACCGATGCCACTAGGCACCGAAGCACGATTACCACTCTAACATATATTACTTTCTAAATTATGTATTTTCAGATTTAAGAAATTTCAAAAAATTTTTATTGTTTCATTATTTAATTTATTTTTTATCATATTTTCGACTGAGCGAATAGCTTTCGCACTTATTATAGATAATAAAATCAGTATCTCGATGCATACAAAGTTTTTCAAGTTTGACGACTACTTCATATCGCGTTATGTCCAGTCCAAGAAATAACGACGAACTCAGAACAGTTAGTACTGTAAGACTTTTCTCTAATTGAATGATGGATTGCACTAAGTACATCCTGATTTGACAGCAACTCGCACAGTAAATCACATGGACATTAAGCATACGTAAAAGATATACGGCAATAGCGTTAGAACGAATCACGAGAAATTTATGAAAATCACTATGCGAGATGAAACTGCTAGAACCATTACTGCGATTCAGTGAAGTTCAAAGACGATTTTGAAATTCTAGTTGAGAATTTTATGTAACGCTTGTAAAAACATTTGCAATTTACTAATGTCAATTACTGTAAGTCATAAAATACATAGGGTGTCCCGTAATATGTGGAATCTATTTCAAGAACTCTTGATTTAAAGGCAATGAAAGAGGTCCACACAAACGTGCAACCTACCTGTCGATGTGTATGAGGTACGACGAAAATCCGTTGTGTACTTACACGTCTATTGAAAACACTTGTGTAATATACAGGGTAGATTATGTAACGCGAGCACCAGGATTATCTTCAATTATTTAGTTATTGAAAAGCAGGAAAAAATTATTTTCTTGCAAATGGTTGGATGTGAGAGAATAACGAAAAGATAATGACACTTGAGTTTTGTCACGTTGACTGTACTACTGAGGATAGAAGAAATCAGTTTACTAAAAACGAACGCTATCGAAGTGGTCCACCCTATATACGTTGCAGAATAGAATAAGACTTTCGACAATTTTAAATAATGTCGAGTGGGAGAAATGTATGAATATACATTTGTAATTTACCAATAGTATCAACATCTAATGTGATTCTGATATATATATGTAAGATTGGAATGAGTACGGCTCTGAAAAAATGTCAAGAGTATTTGAGGTTAGAACGAAAGTGATCGCGTGCATGATGAATTGCACAGAATATTTATGATAGA